AAAGTTTTCTGATCGGCCTGTGATCTGGGCCGTCGCCGTTAACGTTACCGGCGACGGCCCAGATCGCAGGCCGATCAGAAAACTTTCTGATCGCAGGCCGATCTGGGCCGTCGCCGGTAACGGTACCGGCCTCCGATTCAGGCCGTACGATAAGAAATACCGATTCTTATAGTAGTGTAGATGTAGATCTTCATTGGCATCTTCATACTCATTTTCATCAGTCAGCATCGTCATGGTGGGGTGCTTGGTCTCTCTCTCTCTCTCTCTCTCTCTCTCTCTCTCTCTCTCTCTCTCTCGCGTGCGCACACCCACCCACCCACAGTTCGTGCGTTTGTGTGAACCCCCCCCAAAAAAACACGACTCTCCCAGACTGTTTCGTTGGACTTTCACCAACTCATCAGGAGGTTTGAACCCCGACAGTCTGCCCATGATGCATTTGCATGACTGGATGCATGTGCATGTGCTTGTTCAAGCGGGCGGGTGGAAAGCCTTGTGAGGGAGTGGTCCCGTTCGCTATACACCGGCTCCGAGTGCCGCCGAAGACATGCGCGGGGGCCGAACCGCTGCGCAGCCCCTCTGGAACTGGTTTCTCCCCACGCATGGCAGCCCTAACTCCGGTTGCGCTGCAAACTTCTAATCTGGGCCGTTGGCCAACTGGTACCGGGCCGACGTCCCCGATTGCCCGGCGATCTTAAAGTTTTAAGATCGCAGGGCAATCCGGGGCGTCGGGCCGGTAGGACCGTGAACGGCCTGGATTGCCGCGCGATCTTAAAATCTTAAGATCGCAGGGGGTCGGTAGCTCGGCGCACGGCCCGGATGCCAAAATTCTCACATTAGCGATTTTAATAAGTGTAGGGAAGTCCTGAATCGACACAAAAATATTTCAATCCACTGGAACCAGAAAACAAAGAATCTTTCAGGCGGCCAGAGATGATTTTCTTTGGTCTTCTAAGCAAACTCTGACAGCCCATACTCTAAACAAACTAGCTTTTAAGCCCACTAGTACCTTCGTCGTTTCGGAAAATGGCGGGCCTCCAGTCTTTCAGGAGGCCGAAACGAAACGAAGGCTGCCGATTACATTTATCAATGGCAGCCGTCATCGCCTGGCCTCCGAATTCTTCGGGAACTGGCGTTTTCCCTCATTTCTCAAGTGGCGGAGATACTAGCGGTTTAAATCTGGAAGCACTGGCACACTTGAGGTCAAAACAAATGCACCGAACATCTACTTAAGCCACCAGTACACCCTACCCTGGAGGCACTCCACTGCACGCCAAGCTTTCCCAATCAGCCAGCGGCACACTTTTTTGAAGGTTTTCCCTTAGTTTTGCTGGGGCCACCAGCCATTGCGGTCCTGTAGGGCCGAGGTGCAAAATTTTCGGAGTACGCAACGAAACATTTCCTGCATGGCAACGACCGTGTGCTGGCTGTTCAGCGAATGTTTTCTCATTTAGTCACACCAGTCTCTAAACCCAGAAGGAGTTCAGAGACCAGCATTGGGGACCAGCACTTCAGAACCAGATAGTTTACAAGAGCGTAACAGAACCAGCCAAAAAGGTTTCAAACCAGCTAAAGACGTTCCATGAGAGTTACAGTCAAAGCCCCTTGTGGCTGGAAGGCAGGCAGAAGCAGCAGACTTACCAGTCGTGATACGTGCCGATCAGGCCCCGATCAAACACCGCACCAAGGGTATTCACGCCATACGTTGAAACAACATTCATTGTCCAAACAGGCATGTCAACAAGGGCAGCAGCAAAGCTTCCATATCCAGCATTCATGTCCATCACGTTGCGAATCTTGTTGCTCCCCAGCTCACCAACAACCGTCTGCAAAATAAACACAGTAACATTCTTGTTACTCGCAAAGTCAATGCTAGCAATGCGGCAAAATCACTCCACACCAGCACTTTGTTCCACATGAATAGAGCAAGGAGGTAGCTTCACCAACTCCGGAAGCACCCACTAGGAACTGTCTGGAGTATAAGAGTCCCCTCTCTCTCTCTCTCTCTCTCTCTCTCTCTCTCTCTCTCTCTCTCTCTCTCTCTCTCTCTCTCTCTCTCTCTCTCC